AAGAGTACTAAATTTGATTAGTTAATTTATATAACCCTATAAGTTAATTTAATTAATAAATTTTTATACCTAATCTTAAAAAGTTATATCTTACTGAGTTTTTAATTAAATTTAATAATTTGCTATTATTAAAATCAGAAAAATCTGCTCTACAAACTTTTTTTATAATTTACTTAATATAAGTTTTATAAAATTAAATATAAAAAATTTTATTATTGAGTTTATATATAATTTTAATATAGTACTTTCTACTCTTAAAGTTATACTAAAAGAGGTTTTTTTTTTGTAACAAGCATATTAATTATTTTTTAGTTTTTTTTATTAGTTCTAATTTTTTTATATTTATTTTTTATTTTTTTTATTATTTTATTTTTTCTTTTTTTTTATAACTTTTTTCTAATTTGTATATCTTTTTTATTTTATTTGTTATATTGGTCTTCTTTTTCTATTTTTATATTTTTTATATTAAACTCTTTATATTTAGTTATAAAACATATTTTATATTATTTTTGTTACTATGTTTATATATTTTTATATTGTTTGCTTGTTTAAAAGCTGTCCAGTTTTTTTATTTTTATTAAATTAATCTTTTTATTAATATTTTTTTGGTTATAATTTTTTTTTTTGAACAAGAATATTTATAACTATAACCGGTGGTAATAATCACCAGTATCACATGATACAGACTACAATAATATTTAAAATATTTGACAATTACACAATTTATATATAATATAATGTTTATTAAATATTTAATAGTTACACAAATATTCTGCATCATATTTAGAATACATATGTATAAATATACTTATCGTTATATATATGTAGTAAAAAATTAAACTGGCAGCCAAGCAATAGGCTTATGCTTATAGCATAAGTTAGTTTAACAAAAAAATAACAAAATGATAAAAAGTGGGTATTTAAGTTAGTTTTGAGAGGCACTACATAGAAGTATTAGCAAATCAGTTATAAATTATTAACTAAGATATTAAAAATGCTAATACTAACTGATTTCAACAGAAATTTTTATATGTAACAGGCTTAAGTGTTCTTTCATATATTATTACAACTAATTATTATTGACATGAACTCTAATCCTAACCCTATTATCAAACCTTACAATATTTATAAAGCTATGGATCAACTTAATTCTCATATATACATTACCAGATAAAAGAAATACAATTGTAACACAAAGAGTCACAAGCTTTACTATTACTATCATTGTAAAAACAAAATCCAAAGAAAGTAAACACCTCTGTATGCTAAATTTTAAAACCATTACCGTTACCAAACTAATTATCTTTGTTATACAAAATAAAAAAAATTCATTGAATCTTGTACTATATACATACAGGTCTATTTATTACTGTTACCATCACACCTTTGAGAATTATGACCAGGATTTCTACATATCTTGCATATATATTTCCACTTGACAGTACTCTCAGTATTCTCTTTCATAATTTGAGTTGTTTTAGTAGAAATATCAGCTTGATTTTCATTAAAATTATTACTAGATATATGTTGTAATGGTTGGGCAGTAATATTTGTACCATATCTTGAATGTGTATTGTATACATATAAATTTGGATTAATCGGATTAATTGCACTGCATTTAGTGCTAGCATTATGTGAATTATTTTTTGCTGATGACTTGATACGTTTATATGATGGACGTCAATGTCGTCTCTGAACCAAAGGATCCAATATATGCAAATTTTCATTGTTTTCATTATTTGTATTATTAATGCTACTTTTCTTCTGATTGATAAAGCCATTTATCATATTAATAAATTCATTCTCGCAGCCCATATCAATCACTAAATTAAGTGCTGCTTTTGACTTTCCAAAACCAGATGCAAATTTGACTTTCTTCTGTACATGTTGTTTGATTTCAGTTGTAAACATATGCAATGCTCTAAACTGATTAAGAATATGCAAATCAGAAACTACTGCACAATTAGAATTAACTTGTTGAAATTGAGTCACTGCTTCTACAGTTCTATCTTGTAAATTTGATTGAAAATTCTGGTCATTAATATTATTCTTATACCAACATTTTGCTATAAGTTTAATACTGAACTTAGCAACTTTTGAGTTCATTATAATATAAAAATAATGTGAATATACAAGTCCACGATTAATAATAGCCAGGCAAGTACATAAATGTTCTCTGTCATTTAGCAGAACAATAAAATGTTTATATTTTGTTGTAAGCCCAAAGAGTTCCCATATTTCTAAAACATTTGATAATTGTATTCTATTTAAAAGAGAATGGATTGCTATTTGTGGTCTATCAAGTTGGTCTTCAAGAAAACTTGTATTATAACTGAGCTGATCAGGATCCTAAGAAAAAAAAACTTATAAGTGCTTTATTTTCTAAACTAAACAACCATTATATTATATAACTTACTTCTTGTATAATACTAATTGTTTCCTTAGAAATTAATCTTGCATAATAAAGTAAAGAGCCAAGTATTTGCTGATACTGAACAGATAGAATATGAGAAGGTAAATAGTCTTTAAGCAATTTAAGCACCTCTAGGAATATAGATTCAATTATAGAAGACACCTGATTAACCAGAAGGCTTTGAAGGTATAAATTATGTCAAGCCTATTGGGCTTCATTATTTAACAGTCTTTGAATTGTATTATGTAAATTACATAATGAAGATGTACTATTAATACCCTCTTTTATAATTCTATTCATAACCTCAACTCACTATGTACTTTGGATTCCAGCTATGAAGAATTTCACTTGAAAGCATTTTGCCCATGTACTAATATAAGACTGTAAAGCATGATTAAATTAATCTTGTGTCTGGGAATACTTTTCCAGTAAACATATCTAGTGGTGATGAAAATCATTCTCAAATATACTGTTTCTAGCATACAGAAATTTTTTATAAAATGTATTATAATTTCTACCCAATTTACTTCATAAATTCTTATGTATATTCTTTTGTATATGGAAGATACAAAGAAAGTGATTGATAGTAGGCATTTTTAACATTATTGCTTTTATTAAGGCAGGTTCTGAATCAGAAAACAGACAAATTGTGAAAATATTATTGGTCACTTCAAGAACACAGTCAAGAAACTACTCATAACTTTCAGTTGTTTCATCATCCAACAAACGTTGAGCAATGAGCTGGCTTTTAGTATTATTGTTAACAACAACTAGAAGAGTCAAATACATATCAAACCAGTTGGTTTGACATGTATTATTTATTTGTACTATGTTATTATATTGTATAAGATATTGTTGTTGAGTAGAGGACATCCAAAATAATCCTGAAAGTTGGTTATCATATGGGTCGAGTCGCGTTTTAATTATCCAACTGGATTCTTGATCCTGTAACTTAAGCAATTTATTAATCATATTTTAAGCATCTCCTTGACGTTTGGTAAGAGATGACTTAAATTTTTGAATGGCATTATAAAGATCCTGCTTATATATTATACAATCTGGGAAACTTGCAACCAATAGAGGATATATTTGTTTTGATCCTATGTTTCCCTTGGTAATATAGAATATAATCTGTTCTATTATATCTTCTAATAATCTATGATACTTGGGAGCATATAAACTTATGTCAGGTATCATAAAATGATTGTGCTGCTCAACAATACTTGTGATACCAATTACCAATGAAGCTTTAGGATTTGTTAAATTAATGTGCCATGAACACCCAATTTTTCTAGATGGTCGCTGATGCTGTTGAGTTGAATCAATTACTTGATTAGAAATGGCTATACCAAAAAAACTACATTCAAATGTTTATCGACAAACAATTTCGTCAACATCAATTTCAACTCATTTATGACATAAATAAAATCCAACTAATCTTGCATATTGATTAAGTCATGTTTCAGCTACTTTTCATGAAAAAAAAGTATCACCAACACTAATATGAGTAACATTTTCTAACTCTATGTCTGAATTTTGACTATCTTCTGTATAAATTTCATCATTTTTTATTACTTCACTATGCTGCGCAAGGTCTATAATACTTTCACGCCCTATCATGAAATTATTGTTTTGTTCTACTAAGAGGTTATATTCTGCAATATTTTCAAGAAAAACAGGTAGTTCGTCTTCATGGTTATCTTCGATAAAAAAGCCTAATCCGAATTCAAAGTAAAAGAAATAAATAAGTAGTTAAGATAAAGTATAAAGCATGAAATAAAAAATCTCTACTTACTTTCTGTAACTGATTCATTTTCATATTCCATTAATGAGTTACATTTAGCAATATTTTCAAAAAAAAGAGATAGTTCATCTTTATAATTATCTTCAGCAAAAAAGCCTATTCCAAATTTAGAACTAAAGCAAAAAAGATGTCAGTAGTTAAAATAAAGTATGAAATAAAAAACGTTCCTACATACTTTTCATAACTAGTTTATTTAAGTATAGTATTTATTAGTTAAAGAAAAGTGATAAAGTGCATTAATTGAGAGAAACATTAAATGAAAGATACTTGCATTAATAATTTATTTACGTGTTAACAAGGTGCAGAGTTTTAATTATTACGATAATGAAATCATTGCTACGTAATTACGTGAAATAATCTGTATTCTTGTTTTTTATTAATTTGCATACTTTATACTAATTACTTACCTAACTATTGTTACTTTTTGCAAATAGGCATATCAAATTCACATTAACACACTTTAATTTTGGATAGCAAAGTTACTATCATATAGTCTCTAGGTCTTGAATAAAAAGTTATATGATCTAACATTTGCAAGAAGAATTAACAACAGAAAATTCCTAACAGTTTAATTTCTGATATACTGATGTTGACATGTATAATATGCAGCCGTGTATATAAAACCAGATTGAAACCCTATTGCTATACACCGTATTGTAAAATTTTAATTTAAATATATATGTTACTTGATTCTTTATTTTATATAATTATTTATATTACATGATTATTTATTTATTTATACAACAGCCTCTAAACTCTCTCATACTCATACACCATACTTCTCTATCTGGCAAACTCTTATCAACTTTACTAATTCATAC